AGTCAAAATAACCTCAGAATACGACACTCCACCCAAAGCATCGCGAGCAAACCACTGACCATAAAGCCTCACGACCAACCATGTACCCACCCCCTTCAGTGACTGGCAACGAATGAGGACTGCCTAAGCAGAAAGTAATCAGCAGACCTGTGACTCTGAACCTAAACGATATCATTTAACCTTCACACAGACCTTTGACCCGGGAATGTACATACTTCAATTGGCTCAAGGCATCACGACCAGGCACAGACCTGTAACACATAGCTGGGTAACTGAAAGCCATTCTCATGATAACCAAGTCATGGCCATGCCTTCAGCGCCTGCCTAAGGATTAGAACAACCATGTCATCCAAAGCATGGTCTTTCGTGGGCTATTAGCGCTTATGAAGAGGAAAGATATGGAAACCAAGCCATAAAACAGTTCCTCTCAACCCAACTGGCATCAAAACCAAACGTACGACCTAAAATACTGAGCCTAAATTATTCCACTTAACCTTGACACAAACCTTTGGCCCAGAGTGAAAACCGTATTACAGACCTGTGACGAACATTCTGACACAAACATGTGACGCATTGCTTACAAGCCTGAGTTACTAACCCGTAACCTGTACCCACACCCTTCACTGACTGCCAATGAATGGGGACTGCGACCACACCTATAATGAAGACCCTATTACAAACCTGTGAGCAACATCCTGACACAGACCTGTGACACATAGTTGAGTAAATGGAAGACATTGTCTTCAGCCAATGAAACCAGGTCATGGCCATGCCTTCAGCGCCTGCCTAAGGATGAGAACAACCATACCTTCCAGAGCATGGGCTTTCACATCCATAACAACAAATGATCATCCCAACTAAAGCATGATCAATGTTGTCGTAGGCTGTCAGCGCTTAAGAAGAGGAAAGATATGGAAACCAAACCATAAAACAATTTATTTTAACCCAAGTAGCATCAGAACCAAACATACGACCTAAAATATTGACATGGTTATCATGACAGACGAACCTTGACACAGACCTTTGACACGGAGTGAAAACCCTATTACATACCTGTGACGAACATCTTGATACAAACCCGTGACGCATAGCTTAAAAACCTAAGTTTTAACCCGTAACCCAGAATAGGACAGTTTACCCAAAGCATCGCGAGCAAACCACTGACTATAAAGCCTCGCGACCAAACCTGTACCCACACCCTTCACTGACTGGCAATGAATGAGGACTGCCTAAGGATTGATGTTCATCTTGGTACGTGACAGACATTGTCATAATAATTACGTCATGGTCATCCCTTCAACGCCTAAGGATGAGAACAACCATGTCATCCAGAGCATGGTCTATCACGTCCATTAAACAACAAAAGATCATGTCAACCAAAGCATGATCAATGTTGTCATGGGTTGTCAGCGCTTCAGAAGAGGAAAAATATGGAAACTAAACCATAGAACAATTCCTCTCAACCAAACTGACATCAGAACCGAACGTACGACCTAGACTCTAACAGTGACCTGTGACCCGCAGGCAATACAATAGGGCAATTAAGAGAACCTCCGATGTAGACTTTTCCCTAAGCATAAACTAATACCGGTTAACCTTGACACAGACCTTTCGCTAAGGAATTTATGTACTTCAGTCCCTCAAGGGATCACGACCACAACTGTAATGAAAACCCAATTACAAACCTGTGACTAACATCAAGACACAGACCTGTGACGCATAGTTTCAATGCCTGAGCTCTGACCCATAACCCACATTAGTTGACTCAAATCATCACGGGCACACCTGTAATGAAGATTAATCAGTTGAAAAAAATCATCACGATTACACTGGCAAACAAGACTCTATCACAGACCACTGAACCGACCGTGACACAGACCTTTGAAGTCTTAACCTTCACCCGAGATCCGAATAGACCATCTGACCCAAACCATCATAACACGACCTTTGACCGTAACCCAAGCCATCACGACCAGACCCTGAGATCCGAATAGGCCATTTGTCCCAAACCATCATAACAAGACCTTTGACCATGACCCAAGCCATCACGATCAGACTTATGACTCAAACCCTGACCCCGTTAAATAGAAATCATCACCACACTAAAAAACCTCTAATACAGACCTTTAACCCACTCGAAATATGTCACTTGACCTAATACATTATGACCAAAACTGTAATCCAAACCCAGTTAAAAAATTATGACCTGGACATTTACATTCACATGTAACCTGGACCTTTACACAGACATGTGACTGAGAGGCAACCAGACCTCTGGACCCTTACACAGACATGTGAATAAGAGGCAACCAGACTTCTAATCCAAACGCTGTTACAGACTTGTGGCCCACTCCTTCATACAAACACTTCACCCCCAACCCAGAATAAGACACATCACCCAACACATCACTACCACACCCGTAATCCAACCCTTGTTACATACTCTATCACAGACCACACCGGTAATCAGGACTCTATCACAGACCCGTGACCCAGACCGTGACACAGACATTTGAAGCCTCAACCTTCACCCGAGATCCGAATAAGCCATTTGACCCAAACCATCATAACAAGACCTTTGACCATAACCCAACCCATCACGACCAGACCCCAAGATCCAAATAGGCCATTTAACCCAAACCATCACAACAAGACCTTTGACCATATCCCGAGCCATCACGACCAGACGTATGACTCATCTCCTGACCCCGTTAAATAGAAACCATCACCACCCTAACAAGCCTCCAACACAGACCTTTAACCCGCTCAAAATACGTCACTTGCCCTAATACATTATGACAAAAACTGTAATCCAAACCCAGTTAAAGAATTGTGACCTGGACATTTACATTCACATGTAACCTTGACACAGACCTGTGACGCAGACCTTGACATAGACCTGTGACGCAGACCGTGTTCGGAGTTGTGAAAGAGAGTTGCTCACAACACAAATGGTAAACAAAGATGGTAGGCTATGTGCATTAACACCATCACAACAAAAAAACAACAAACGACTGATAACCAGCCTTGCAAAGACAACCTCCATACTAACTTATGCGATGACCAGATTCAGTCCCGTTTTCATATGGTCATCACATGCAATCAGATGGTGATCGAGACTAAGACGCTTCTGACCTGAACTCGGACTAGCCCCTGACGAGATGAAATATGATTTCCAACTTTTGTTACGTAAGAATCCAAAGTTTGAGTTCACACTTAAATCGAAGGTCGGAGTCTCAATTCCACTGCGAAAATCTAATGTTCAAATCTTCATCCCCAATCCCGAGGCCATCTTCTGAGTCTCAGTCTTGAGCCACAAGGTCAGATCCCCACTCATTAGAACGATAGTGATAATCCACGTATATATATATATATATACATATCGTCACAAACATATATATGTATATACATATCGTCACATAGATATCAGAGCGCAAAAGCGAAAAAAAAAAAGAAACCAAAAAAGGTATCAATTCATTGAGGATCTTCTTCCTTACAACGCCCCCTGTTCAAAACCTCTTGCGTACAAGACCGCCTACGTGGATGTAGGTTGAGCGGCGGTTGTCCCCACCTCCGTGTGTTATATCGACCCACTTGCACACAGGCAAAAGGCAAAGAGGCAAAGAAAAGAGGAAGGGAAAAGTCGAACATTAAAGAACAGGGGGCTAACAAATCATGTATGACAAGTCCCACATACAAGCACCGCCCCCACATCAGAGGCCAAACGAGTGGACAAACCAACTAGGATTGAAAACACGATAAAACCTTTGCCGAAGAAGAGAAAAAAACAAAGAAACACCTTATCTGCAAAAAAGAAGCTCCGATGGACAGTGTAACAAATAATGCGCGCAAAGAAACACCTTATCTGCAAGAAAAAAAATAAATCCATTGCGCCTACCGCAGCAAACATAAAAGACAATCTCAGATGATGATTCCCACTAAAAAGCATCGCCCTCGAACCCAGGCCGAACAACGAGAAACACCAACCAAGATACTAAAAAAAGGAAGGACCTGGATGACGTCACATGACCACACGGAAAAAAAAACAAAGAAACACCTTATCTGCAAAAAAGAAGCACCGCCCCAGCGCACAGAGGCCACACGACAAAACAATACCACCCAAGACAAAACACTCTTGTCTGCAAAAAAAAGAATCCCGGATACATATCTATACACAACAGATGACCTTGATATATACATGTATACATATATATATATATATACACATATATAATATATATGGATTTTTCGATTTCCCGTTCGATGTAATTAACAGACAAAACATTCCATACTGATTTACTTGGTAGACCGGCAGGGCAACAGAGAAAAGAAACGGCCATGGCACCCGAGCCACAACCACTCCCATCACTAAGCACTGATAAAATGGGATGGCCATGCAAGTCCCGGGAAAGTACCCAAGCCAATACCATTCCGATTGTGGACCACAAACAGAGGTAGACAATCATGCCAAGCAAGGCATGACGATTCCGTTAGTTCGAACAGAGGGGGATGAAAGTAGTGATACTTCGTAAGTCCCTGTTTCCAGTGATTTCCGATGTCAGTCTCAGTCCTATGCCGATTCCCTGTCCTATATCGATTCCTATTCCCATTACGAGTTCCCTGTCCCGGGTCTGAAGTCACTATCCCTGTCTGCAGACCCACTTCCAACACGTAGTCCCAACTCGTAAATCCCAAGTCCTATGAAGCGACAAAAACAACAACAAAGGAGAACAAGTGTGTGTATTGTGCGAAGTGCACTATCCAGTCAAAGGTGAAGCCTCGTAGGCAGTGCACACAGTGGACCACACACCACACACGTGAAGTAGAGAAGAACACAAACTATAGAAGGAAACGCAACATACGACAATGCAGGCAACATAATTTGAGAACAGTTCAATAAGAAATTCAGATGGAGTCCGAAAAAAGTCGTACGTGTGACCTGGTCCTGATGGACGTGCATAATTAACGAAAAATAACAAAAAAGAGTAAACATAACTCACCAAAAGCAGCAACCGCCGAAGAGTGTTTTGACCCACATCCGACGAAGACTGTTTGAAGTGTTTTAGCACATTCACCTGCAAGGTTCAGTAAAGAAAATTGAGCAATGAGAAATTATGATTGATATGTAGAGGGTGTCGAAAATTTCAAAGAAGATAAAAGAAAACTCGGGGACTTCAGGCATTAAAAAATATAAGCTGAATTAAGCAATGAAAAATTATGATCCATATGCAAAAACGACGCAATTTTCAAAGAAGACAAAACAAAAGTGAGGTTGGCGCCAGGCAGGGAAGAAGATAAGCTGAATTTAAAATTTCGATGGAGATGAAAAAACCACGAAAAGTATAGAATTAGCCCGAAAGAATAGAACTCCGCCAAAGCAGACAGCGAGGAAGACCGATCTAAGGGGTGCTGTTGCATGCCCAAGTGGTTTCGTCAATAACATGAAGGAGATGCGAAGACGCGAACAGTACGACGAAGAGAAAACAAAACTCCTCGAAACCACCCTTCGAGAAAGACCGGTGTAAGGGGTCCTGTTGCGGGTCCAAAAAGTTTTTTCGCAAAAATCGAGCAATGAGAAAGTGACACTAAAGAGG